GAGAGAGAGAGAGAGAGCTAGCATGCCCCGGATCTACGTTGCTCCTGGATTTGTTACAGGATCTACGTTGCTGGACATGTAAAACACAGTAAGAAGAAGAAGAAGGAGAAGGAGAGAGAGAGAGAGAGAGCTAGCATGACGTCGATCTACGTTGCTCCTGGATTTGTTCCAGGATCTACGTTGGTGAACAAGTAAAACACAGCAGCGAGAAGGAGAAGAAAACATAAAATCAACGGGAGGAAGAACAAGATCATCAGCGACACCTGGTGAGGATCCTTGGGGAGGTGGATGGCGAAGAACTAGCGTCCGGGAGAGAAGGGAAGAACGAGCGTCCGGGGGAGGGAGAATGGTTGTTGCGTACTTGAAGAGATGAGACGCTGCGCTACTACTTGAGGTGGGAGGAAGGGGAGCGGGGATGCATTGAATAAAAATGCTGGCTAGTTGGGCGCTGGTAGGTTCTGTGCCGTGCGAGAGTAGAGGAACAGAGATATATACGTGCCTAGACACGGTAATGCACGAGAGCGCAGAATCATCTACTAATACATGGGCCCGTACGTACGTCCATGCTGTGTGTACGAGCCTATGCGGGCGTGACAACACATAAAAAACGCTCCTATCCAAAGCCCCCCTCACTCTCTCTCTTCATTTCGCCTTCACCCCTGACGATCCTCTTATCCTCTTCTTTTCCTTTTGGCTTTTTCTTACTAATCTACACGTGATGATTGCATGGATCAAACAAGTACTTGGATGGTCAATTCTAATATGGCTTGATTGACATAATACGAGCACCTAATTGTCGGATTGTTTAGTTGTCATATTACAAATTGCCAGGTTTTAAAATACGTGACAATCGCTTAGGAGGCGTCCGAAAAACACCAACGCATGCTTCTGACCACCCTGACCCACCCAAACCCCTTCTCCCTCGTTCACGCGCATTCCCATCCCGCGCCAGCTGCCTGCATTCATGCCGATGTAGAGCGGCCACTTCACATTGAAGCTAACGCAGAGCGGAAGCGACCTCTCACTGCCTCCGTTGTTGGTTCATCGTCCGACACACGTCCATTCATGAGTGGGTCGGCATTAACCACATGCCGATGTAGAGGGCACAGTCCCGCTGCATGTGAGGTTGAACACGCCTCATCGCCGCATTCAAACATCTGCATTAAACCTGTACGTGTGCCAAGAAACCTAGTCCGGCACACGTCCATTCATGAGTGGGTCGGCATTAACCACAACGCCAGGCAAGCTCCTCCTGTCAGCCGGCTATTTTAAGGAGGCCAGACGTCGGGCAAGAATCGCACCACTCTGCCGCTCCCTATCTTCTCCTTCCACCATTTTTCCACCCTTTTGATGGCATACGACTAGCCGAAAGAGCAGTTTTTCTGGCATAAAAGTCGGGTAGGTGGCCGGCCGAGCCAGCTGGATACGAGCGAGGAAACTCACTGCTCCACCCTCACCTAGCCCAGTTGTGCCCGTTGTCACTCCAAGCCGACGCATGGTTCAACAAATCACCATTCCAAGCCAACTCGCCGAGGAGTGACAGCTTGCTCCACGTAGGAACGTGGGGGAGCACGACTGCACTGGCATCATGGTTGCCATGGTCAGGCCAGCCGTCGTGCCATCCCCGTCAACATTGGCGGCACCGCGCCCGGTCGGTGTAGAAAGACGCGGAGATCGACGGGTCGGTGGCCATCCTGCCACCGCCAACATCGAGGTAAAGTATAAAACGGGAGGTCGTCGCCGCCTAGGTCCTAAGAAGGCCACCGTCGGCCTGTCGCCAGCTTGCACAACTGGTGACTTGCCCAGTTCTTCAGTGCAGACCATCGTCGACCCTCGCATCGGCTTCCCCGAAGCGGAATAGGCACCCTTCCCCACCGGCTGAAGCGCCCCCTTCCCCTCCGGCTGGACCACTCTCTTGGCCACTCTGATGAGCAGCACAACCGAACACAGGGAAGATATGGGGGAAGAATATACCTCTGGGGCTCCCGGCAGTCTGAGGAGCAGGTTGCCTGACATGGGGAAGACAAAAGGACCCGTCAAGGTCGGTCGTAGACTAGTGTAGTGTATATGTGCCGTGGGAATGGAGCTCCGCGGGACCGTACGTGCACATAGTTTTCCACATAGGATTTATAAACACTATATCGGCAGACCGCGCCTACCCGACCTGCCCGGAGCAAAGTCTCTGACCCGTCTTAGACACAAAGCTGAGCACGAGCCCCAGGTCATCGCCAACCCGACGCGAGAGTAACCCACATGCTGTGAGTTTTCGATCAAGGAGAAGGCATGGCACAACCACCACTCGCACCCCCGCCACCGACAACAAACCGTCGCCGCCAGGGCATCCACGATCGTACCGGTGCCCGAACCACTGCCGGAACTCCACGCCACCACCAGAGCAAAGGGCCACAACCAACCAGCTACCAAACCTCTCTTCGACAAGGGCGGAAGGGGCAGCCGTAGCCACCCACCAGATCTAGCCACTCCAGATCCGGGCGAGGCCCGCCCAAGGCAAACAAGGCTCCTAGGCGTGGCACGGGAATAGTGGCAGCATCGAATCACCCACCAGCCAGGGGCCTACTGTCGCCTGCCCCTTTGACGAACGAGGAGGTCCACGCACTTCCTGCTCCCGACCCTAGCCGGCGGCCGAT